CAAGGGAATTTACCAAACCACAATTTATTAAATCGACGTAAGTCTCGCCCTTCTAAATGGCTTGGATAGTCTTCTAACTCCGGTTGACAAGGTCCTAAAATAATATAGGCTTTTCGCACATTATCTTGTTCACTCACCGAATATTGGCATATTTGACGACGTAATCCCGGATCACGCTCAAGATAATTGATATTAAAATCTTGACCACTATCAACTCTTTGAGTCTCAACTCTTTCAACTTGAGGCTCGACAATGAGAGAAGAGAGAAGATTTGGCTCATCACAAATGGAAGGCATTCTAGAAGATGATGACCCATCGTTCTTTTTCTTAAAAAAAGAGAACAAATTCTTTGTTTTCTTGGGGTTTTGATTGTGATCCGACATAATAAAAGATAACCTATTTAATCAAACATCCCAACAAAAAATCAAACAATTTCTCATAGAAGCATCAATGAATTTAATCAAACATTAACATACCAATAACAAATCAAACATCTCAACAATGCCAACATCAAATCAAACATCTCAACAAAATACTTAAAATCAAAGACCTAATTAAATTCAACAAAATCCCCAAATTATATTTCATTCCTAATTAAACCCTAGAAAACTCAATTTCAAATTAAAATTAAAACTAAGATGCATACATTTATTTTAGGAATAACCCAATTGAAGAAGATAATTAAAGAGAAGAGATTAAGAAGAATACTTGTTTCCTTGTATATGAGAAGAGAATGGGTTGTTCACGATTGCACAGCTTGACTATTGCACAGCTAAGATTGTTGAGTTGAGAAGAAGCTGCCGACTCTGTTTGGAATTGCATAGCCACTATTTGGCTGCTTATAAGTTATATTCCCCCTTGTATTAAAGTCTGGGCCATTCCATAACATGGGCTGGTTATAATTTTATTAATATTTTTTAAAAAGTTTGAGTGGGCTTTAACACATGTGGTGTGGGTTTTACATGGGTTGGATAGGCAAGGGTTTATACCATCACATGTAATGGTGTTTGGGCCTAAATTGGCATACCCAACATAAGGAAATAAAAGCCCATCTCAGTTTTGGCAGCCACCAAACACCTCTTTGAAATTGGGCCATAAATACACATTCAGCCCAAAAACAGTGAAAGCACCAGCCCAACATCAAAGAACCCAGCCTTTAGTTTTTTAAAAAAGGGGGGCCCAAGTCCTTTTTGCAAAGAAAAAAAAAACCACTAGCGCAGAATCAAAATATCAGAGACTTGATTAAAAGCCTATTCTTTCAAAGAACCCACGTGACCATCAGAAATGGAGAAGTCAACAAATTCAACTATCACAGAGTTGATTGGAAATTTCAAAAGAAAAAAAACAGTGGCTGGCAAACTAGGAAGAGACATCTCTGAAAATCTGCCAGCCAAAAATCAAAATCCCTCTTATATATTCAAAGATATTGTTTCCACTCTAGAGAGGCACCATCTTTTAAGGGATACGCAGGCTATGTTTTCAGAAAGGAGATAAGCAGGAAAGAAGGGATTTGTTCAAACAGAAAAAATCAAACTAACCATCACGATTGAAATCACACAAGGGCCAGTTAAATTGGGAAAAGGAATTAGGCTTTCTCTTAAAAATAGGGAAGTGATCTCTAAGATTGATTGATGAAAGCCTATCTGCCAGAATTTAATTAAAAATCTTCCCTCTCTTATATCTCTTTGTAGATCTTTGAGAAGACTTGCCGCCCATTATTTTAAAAGAAAGAAAACCCTGCCCCTATGCATTTTTTTCCACATAAATACAAGAGAGAGTGAACATGACAAAAACACAATCAATCTTACACTCAATTCATCAATCAAACAAATAACAAGAGATCAACCAAAAAAAAAAACTCACTTGAGCTCCAGAAAAAACCAGCTTGAGATCAAAATTCCCAAAGTTCAGACTTAGAAAATAAGTCATTTAAAACGAGATTCCTCTCGTTACAAATTTGGTTCAGCAAAAGCCAAGACAGGTAGAGTTTGAGCTTTTTTCCAAACATGAAAACCTCAACAAATTTCACAGTGCAGTTCTTAGCACACTGAGTCCTCAAGAACAGCCACTTCTGCCCTTTTAGATTGAAGTAACCGCAGTTCTATCCGCTTAAAGCCTCACAAAAGCTTGAAGTAGATTAAAGCTCTGCCAAAATTGAACTTTGGTATCAATTTACAACTGAAGCTTTGTAGTTGAAGTTATTAATAGTTCAGTCCAGCCCAAACATTTGCAGTCCAGCCCGGATCAGAGTCCTCTATCCAGGCAGAAATGGAGTTCCAGTTGTATTTTAACCTTCCTAGCATTGATATGTATGTCCATAGTTTTGTAAAGGGCAGTTCTGCCTAAAACAGTCCAATTTTTATCAACTTTCTGGCCAGAACAATCGTTTTTATACTGAGATAAATTATGAAAGTCCTCACCAGCTTGAGGCATGAAAAGAACTTACTTGGGAGATATTCCTCACTCAAATTCACAATCGTTTATTTTAGAAATCAGTAACTTGGGGCGCAAGCTATCTATTTTCTAGAAGAAGTCTGCTAGAGTCTTCACTGATAGCAGTGGCACGCTCATACACCAAAGAAAGCTGTCTTGTTGACCAGTCAATGGTTTCCAAGGCAGTGGGGAACTTTGCCCTTCCATCTCAGGAGTAAAAACAAAACGGGGTGAACAAATGGGTATCAATTACTTTGCTTGTATATAGTTTTTTTTTTTAGTGAAATTTTTTTGGGTAGGCAGTAGCCTACCCTGCCCTAGCTGTAGGACCACCTCTGCCTTTAACAATCCTCCTTCCAGCAAACCCTATTGGATGTTGTTCATCATCTTCCACCATCCTCCCAACCCCTTCCCACCACCGCTCCCCTAATTTCCTTCGGCTCCATTCGAATACCTCCCCTGCCTTACCGACCCACTCCCCAAGTTTCTTCTCATGCTTCATCCTCTTCCCAGCCTTTTCGTCCTCGCATCTTTCCCCTTCATACCACCTTTCCCTCCGCCATTTTTATCACACCACCCTCGTACACCAGCGCATACACTACCCAACCCCCTTATTCCCACATCCCCATTACTCAGCTTGTTCCCCTACCTATCCTCACCCACAACCCCAATACACCCCCACCACATCTACCAGACCACTACCCCACCTTCCCCAAAAACCCCAAAAATCAAACTCTATTGTTTTACCAGAAGGGACCCCTATGCTTGGTTGACCATTGCGGAGCGTTACTTGGACCTCTATGATATTCCCCTTCATTTACAGGTTAAAGTAGTGACTGTACACTTGACTGATGATGCCGCGCTCTAGATGCAATGGTTCGAGACCCAATTTCCGAATCTTTCTTGGACTTCATTCTCAAAGGCCTTATTAGCTCACTTTGGTTATGGTGACTCATTGAATTTTAACTTCGCTCTTTCCCACATATAACAGACTGGCACTCTCAACGATTACAACATCGAATTTACAAAGCTTTCATGTCACACCCTTGATTGGTCTGATGAACAACTTAAGGGCATTTATGTGGGTGGCTTGACCGCTGACCTCCACGACAATGTTCTGATTCACCATCTGGTGACTCTCAATATAGCTAAACGGTTAGCCTGGGCTTTTGATAACCGTCAAAAGTCGACGCATACCCAGTCCTGCCCATTTCCTGTTCGTTTCTCCCCTGGTTCAGGCTCTCGCCATCCAGGTTTACCACCGACCTCGGCGCCTCCATTTGTTGTCTCCGGCTAACCGCCCATTCGCCTGCACACTCAAGCAAAAGGTCAAGACTGCCCTGAAAAAAGTCTTTGCTTTAACTGTGATAAGGTCATCGCTGCAAAAGACCTCAACTTCTCATGATTGACGCAGATTAGGACGTTTCAGACAAATCGTTTGAGGAGGCCATTACCCAAGAAGTTGTACATGGTACACCCACGAATTTCCCCTGCCACAAGGAGTCTGAACCTTTTCTTACCATTTACGTCCTCACAAGCTCTCATTGTTCATGTACAATGTGCCTTCAAGGGTCCATTGGCAAATTGGGCCTTACGGTTTTCATCGAAACAAGCTCCACCCACAATTTGTTAAACCCACATCTCACCAAGCGATTGGGCCTCGCTATTGACTCTTCTCAACCACCTAAGCTGATCAAAGTTGCTAATAATAATATCATTGAGACAAAGGGCTTCGTTTCTCAAGTCCAGGTATCTCTGCAGGGTTATATCCTTGTTACTGATTGTTATTTACATGTCATTTCAGGATGTGATCTCATTCTCGGTGCCGACAGACTTGATACATTGGGTTTTATTGGTTGGAATTTTTAGAAAAAGGTCATGGTTTTCAAAGTGGGTGGCGAGATCCATAGATTGGTGGGCCAAACCAAAACTAAGGCTTCCTTGGTGGATTGCCATGTGATGACCCCGCTGCTAGCTTAGGAGAAACTTGGCATTCTC